AGCCCATTGGCCAAGTTTGCGGACGACACCAAGATATGGGGTTGCACGGATACACCCAGATGAAGTTCAACATAGATAAATGCAAAGTGCTGCATCTGGGAGGGAAGAACCCCCAGCACACCTACAGGCTGGGGATCGCTAACCTGACCAGCACTAGAAATGAAAGGAGTCTGGGGTAACAATAGACCCCAGCATGAATATGAGCCGGCAGTAACCTCTAGGGCCAATAAAACTCTGGCATGCATCAATCAGTGTATCTCCAGTAAAACCAAAGAAGTGATTCTCCCACTTTACTCAACATTGGTGTGGCCACAGCTGGAGTATTGTGTCCAATTCTGGGTGCCTGACTTCAACAAGGACGTGCTAAAGCTTGAGAGGGTCCAGAGAAGAGCCACCCATATGAACAAAGACTTACTTGCATGGCAAGCCATATGAGGAGAGGCTGAGGAATCTCAGTCTCTTCAGCCTAAAGAAAAGAAGGCTGAGAGGGGACCTGATTACAGCTTACCATTATATCAGAGGCATACATCAAGAACTTACTGAACAACTGTTCACCAGGGCGCCCTGCGGGAAAACTAGACACAACGGCCACAAACTCCTGGAAGATAGTTTCAGACTGAACATTAGGAAAAACTTCTTCCCAACTAGGATGTCCAGACTATGCAAGAAGCTTCCCCTACAGGTGGTGCAATCACCTAAACTAGAGGTCTTCAAGAGAAGACTGGACAGTGATTCTATGATTCTATTAAAGTGTAAATGACATACTGCAAAAGAAGTTATTTACATTTTGAGCACATTTACTACAGAGGGATATTTAAATGTACCTGGCTCAGTTGCACTGGTTAGTTATGATCAGTTTTCCTTTTAACCATGCCTTATTGCAGATTGGACTGAATTTTGCTTTGGTAAAGATGCACTCTCTTTCTTTCTACAGGAGCAGGAATTCTTACCCTCAACCTCCCTACCCCCTTTAAACTAACTTCTATAGAAAAAAGCAAACATTGAAACCATTACTAAAATCAACAGTGCCTTGCACTTCCATCCAAAGTTCTCAAAGCATTTCACAAATATTGATCTCTTTTGCCCTAACATTAGCTCCTCTGTGAGGTATACAAGTTGGTACTGAACTATGGACAATAAGGTGAATATGAGCCAGCAGTGTACCGTTGTTGTCAAGAAGGCTAATGGCATACTGGGCTGCATTAGTAGGAGTGTCGCCAGCAGATCAAGGAAAGTGATTCTTCCCCTCAGCACTGCTGAGGATACAACTGGAGTACTCTCTAGTTTTGGGTTCCCCACTACAGAAAGGATGTGGGCAAACTGGAGAGAGTCTAGCAGAGGGCAATGAAAATGGTGAGGCCACTGGGGCACATACTTTCTGAGGAGAGGCTGAGGGAACTGGGCTTATTTAGTCTGGAGGGAAAAAAAAGACTGACGGGATTTAATAGCAACCTTCAATTACCTGAAGGGTGGTTCCAAAGAGGATGGAGCTAGACTGGGGCAGGCAAAATGCAGCCCATGGACCAGATGCGGCCCACCAGACCATTCTATCCTGCCTGCAGGGCCCCTAAAAATTTTAGAAAATTCATATTTATCTGCCCCTGGCTGCCTGTCATGCAGCCCTCGTTGGCTTGCCAAAACTCAGTAAGTGGCCCTCTGCCCTAAATAATTGTCCTCCCTTGAGCTTGACTGTTCTCAGCGGTGGCAGATAACAGAACAAGGAGTAATGATCTCAAGCTGCAACAAGGGAAGTTCAGGTTAGATGTTAGGAAAAACTCTCTCACTGGGAGGATAGTAAAACACTGGAACAGGTTACCGAGAGGGGGAATGGAATCTCCATCCTTGGAAGTTTTTAAGACCCAGATAGACAAATGCTTGGCTGGGATGATCTAGTTGGGGATGGTCCTGCTTTGAACAGGGGGTTATACTAGAAGACCTCCTGAGGCCCCTTCCTAACCTAATTTTCTATGATTATATGATCACTCTCTCCATCATTCAAGCAAGCCACTCTGTAAGGAGACCCAACATTATGTGATACACCCAAATTTAAAGTATAACTTTTTATCACTGAAAGGATGAATTTAGAGGTGTTCTCTAATTTAGAAGAGTAGGAAATTGGGAGATAGTTCCTTAGTTAATTAACTGGGCAGTCTGAAGGACTGTAGTAGCTTGCATACTGCTCCCAATAAAACTTGTTGTTTAGTTCTTCTCATTCATGTCTAGCTGCCTTCGTTGAACCCAGCAGTCACCACAATCCTGACCTCATGTGCTACATTACCTCATTTCATCAAAGGCAAAATATTTACTTGCCAACAACAAAACTATATTCAAGAAAACCCAGGCTTACTAATAATGAGAATGATCCAGTCATCTTCATACATCATGCCATTGTTGAATAAACATGCTAGTTTCATCTAAAAGTTTGTGATAACTATCACATGTATTTGTCACAGAGCTTAAGGGCCCCTCTACGTGTCACCTCAAGTCTTGCAGAGGCAGTAACATTCTTCCTGTTGACTCTGTTGCAATCCCTACAGTGACATCAGCTGCAATGCTTACAGCAGTGGCAGCACAGGAGAATGTGGCCCTTGCTCTGAGCTCTGCAGCTGAAGATGTTGCCCCTGCTGCAGCCCCACAGGTGGGGAGGCTTGCAGCAGGGACAGCATTCTCCCTGCTTCAAGATGTGATCAGTGCAAGCCTTGCAGCTGTGGGGCTGGCAGCAGGTGATGCACCCCTGTAGCTGTGAGCCCCTCAGTTAATGGGGCTCCCAACCACAGGGGAGCACCTTGGTCACATGTTCAATTAACGGCATTATCAGAACAAGCTACAAAGTTATTGCACATTTTTTTGTGGAATAACTTTGTAGCTTATTGCTTGTTTTATCATTAACCATTAATTGGTTGAATGTGTAAGCTGGGTCAAAAATTTAAGGCATAATTACCTAATTAACCATGCCTTAAATGTAATGTGTAGAGGGAGCCTAAGGCTACAAAAAGATGCTTCATTTCTCCTGGGAGAAACCATTTTATCCTGGGATAAAGTGCAACTGTTCAGATAAACCCTAAAGGATTCAAAGGATAAGAAGAGCTAACAGTTCATCCCAGGACATCAAGAAGGGCATCTCAATGATTATTCTGTGACTGCATCATTAAATCAATGGCAGAAAAGCAGCAGTGCATATAGCTGGTCACTTCAACCTCACTGGAAGAGTGACGTGTGTATGTGACAATCCCAGGACTTTTCTGCTCCCAGACAAATGCAATCCTCCACATGCCTCTCCAAGTGGAGCATCACTGAGCAGTAGCCACTGGCACTCTGAGTTCGAGAGCCGGTGGGCACTGTCCAACGTGCTCACTCGATGTCCCCCCAGGGAGCACTTGTTTCGGCCCTTTGACCTTCACGTGCACACCCTGTTTTTTCATTTGTTGTCCCCCATAATTTATTGGTTTTAAGGACCCTGGCTGCCCAGCATTGGCGGCCCACATGTTTTTAATGGGCTAGGCCCACTGGTCTTTTTTATCAAATAGGCTAGACAAATTCAATGCCCAATCCTAGCCTAAGTGACCAAAATACCCAATTTCAAGCATCACGTAGAAGAACAGAATTGTCCTCAGCTTTTGGAACATTCTAACATCGCCTACTATGGATAATGGCTCTCATAATGTGAACTAACTGGTTTAACCTGATAATCTTTCAGGTCATTGCAAGGTTCATCAGTTCTATGTTATTTGACATTTGAGGGACCAGGGATTTTGCTGTCAAAGTAAAAAACTGTTTGAATGGGGAAAAGATTGGTGGTAGATTAGCTTAAAATAGCTACATTGTTAATTTTTTTTTACATTATGTTTGCATGCCTTGAGCAAATAAATAGTCAATCCTTTCATCTCTTCCACAACTCTGAAATAAAATTTACATACCATCAGGCTAACTGCATTGTCACTCCTAGCCAGGATCTTCAAACTTTGGTTAAACATCTGGATTTAAAGGGCCTGACCTTCAGGAGGTACGGAGCACCCAGAGTGACTTAACTTTCAACAGAGTGTCTGGCCTTCTACCTCTGAAAATTAAGCTGTTTTTTGTTTAAATTACTCAATACAGAAGTAGATCTGTAACTTTAAGACAATCACATTTGAAAATGTTGGCTTGTGTCCTTAGAACTATGCTGCATTATTCACTACCCTACAAAGTTCAGAACAAGATTAAGTATAGACTTTCACATTCAAGGTGGAATTCAAGATAAAGTTTGAATTAATTTTGGCTACAGTATCGTAAGATCAGTTTAACTCACAATATGTCACGAACCTGAACTCCCAGCAGTTCTTACTACATAAACAGGATCTTGAGATGAGTTCAAGTTATATCCAGAAAAACATACCTATTCTGGTTTTGGACCTGATTATAACTTTAAAACATATAGCCAGTTTCAGATTCAGGAGTGTATATCTTATATTTTGAAGCACGAGTTACCAGTTCAAGGCCATTCCAAATAATAGAAAAGGAGTTTTTTTGTACGACTTTTTCCTTCAAGTTGTTAGTATTTGTACAAAGAAGTGTTAGTTGTGCTAGAAGGTCTAATTAGAAGTCTAGTATCAGAGAAGTTGGAAGGCCTTATGAAATGTAACTTTGCATGCACTTTACTAACCATTTACTTTCATATCTGCTTGTTACATGCACATGGGGATAGCAATTGCTTTCTTCAAACTATTTCCACTAAAAAACACCATCTTTCCATCATTCTAAATTCTGCTTTTTGGACAACCACTTCTTCACAATGGTGAGGTAAGCAATTCTTTCTGTTGTAGGTGAGAAAAATGAGGTTTAGGTTTTGTACCTCAAGGCTCCTTGTTATACAAGAATGTATATGTCAGCTTATATGAGCAACCTGGGTATTCCTTTGCATCTTACCCACATTGACAGACCTTGCCATAGGATGTCTACTGCAGAGCCACAAGCCTTTCTTTTTCACATGTTCAGCCATAACTGTTTATACTGAGTTCCTTTTTCTAATATTTTTTTCACCCATCCCCCTTGACAGAGCATTATCCATAACTATAACAGAAAAGGCATAGATGTACAGAGGTTTGCATTGCTTTTAGAAAACTGGGCCAGTGACACAGAGTGCTTAATTTCTAGAAGTACTGTAATTTCCTGATGCCTGTCTTCCCGTGCTCTTAGTTGTTTTGCCATCTGCTGCCGTGCGTGAAAATTTTCACTTTGCTGATTATCTTGTAAAGATTTGTCAAGCTGCCTGCAATTCTTTGGATAATATGACTAGAACACAAAATAAAAAAAACTGTCAAAAGAACATAACATATTCCATAAACATAGTACAGCTATTTTTTAAAGTTTCTCATGTTTTTAAATATGGCTGTACTGGCATATGCATGATAGAGAAGTGTTCCATCAAGCTATGGATTTAGAGGCTGTGTTCAGCAGTTATGATGGGGCCTTATTACACATTACTTCTTGGGCTGCTCAAATGTTGATCAGTGTTAGTGCTAGCTTGAGTTTGGAGCAGTCACACCTTAAGGCTGAAATCCTTCCCTGACTGTCCCCCACCCACACAGCTGTGACTTGCCACTAGAGGGCTGGTGAGCAGGGACCTGACTAGCAGCTTGCGAGTTGCCACCACAAGGCTGGTGAGCCAGGACAGGCTTCTATCCCTGCTCTGGGCAGGGGGGGGTCAGAGGGAGGGTGGAGAGAACATGAAGCTGGGAAGCAGAGTGTTATTGGGATGTGATGAGCAATTAAAATTGGAGGTGGAAAGAAATGGGGATGGGGAACGATGGAAAAAATGAAGCAAGTCAGCCACTGAAGGATAAAATAAGAAGTGAAAAAAAATTAAAAAGAAATAAATAAGTAAATTAAAGGTCTCATGTTTTAATAAATTGGGATTGGGGTGTGGGGGGTGCTGGTTGGACTTCCCAGGGTGGCTGGGAGGTGGGAGTGGTGATGGAAGGTACTTTTAGGGGGATACTGCCCCTGCCAGGAAGCCTCAGCTTATGGCAACCCAATCCCCTACCTTCCCTACCACCCCTCCTAGACCCAACTCTTGGACGTGTCCATATGCTGGCTAGCTGGCATGTGCTCTTCAGGCTGTTTATATTGGGTTGCACCTCTGGGGGATAGGGGAGTTAGACCTGGTTTGGTGCCAAGACCACCTCTTGAGCAGTAGAGTTCAGGGGGGGTGTGGGGATGCTGCTTATGGCCTAGGGTCTTATTCTAGCTCCTCCTTTCTGACATTGTTCAGTCTTGAACTCCCTAAGGTAAATTCTGACTCTCTCCTGCCACGTCTTGATTATTCTTATGATGTTACTAGTCGGGAGGTGTTACTTGTTTTCTACCACAGTTGGATCCCAGCAACCTATGTAGAGGTTTTCTTGGGTTACAACCTCCCCTGTAACTCTTCCGAGCTCCACCCAATGTTTATGTCATGGATTGAAATCACAGTCTTATTTTTGGGTTAAACAATTTTCTTTATTATTCATTTCTCCAATTTTTTTTTTCTACAATCAACCCACAGTTCGACGGACCATTGGTACTCCACACCAGTTCAGGTAAGTCTTAACTTTAACTGTGGAAAGATTCAGCTAGATTCAATCTCTAGGAGTGTATAGTTTAGGATAATCATAACTTAAAAGTCCAAACAAAAAAACCAAGAAATTCTTACTTTGTCCTATCTCTTTTTTTTTTTTTTTTTAAGGTTGCCCTGTCTCCTGACGTGTTCTTGCCTCCTCAGAGCTCTCAAGGCACTCTTGTCTGTTTAAGGGCTTAAGTGAGTAGTCATCGCTCAGGCTCTCTTACCCCTCAACCTCCCTGGAGGCCAATTAGCTCTACTCAGAGTTCAACCCCCACAAAAAATACAACAGAACCAGCTTTCATTGTAACCAGAGTAACAGCCACTTTTCTCACCATGTGGCTGTCTCTGCTGTAATGTCCCCCCGCCTCTTGGGTACTGCCTATAGAAGAATTTTTATTGCTGGTGACTCCCAGCTTAATAGGATCCAGTCGAGCTCTCCTTTCCACTCGAACCTGGTCCTAGGGGTCCTTCCTTCTCTCTACAGCCTTCTCGGGCTTCTTTTTTTCCTGCTCTTTGCTCCCTCAGCAGCCCACCCCTCCCCTTCCCTCCCAGGGTTGTTCTACCTTGATGGAGCAGAAGCTCTGGAAGCATCATTTTCCTGCTTTCATCTCTTCTTCCCTCCATTCTGTCTCGTTTCCTGCAGTTAGTAGTTGATTTGCAGCCCGTTTCTCTTCACAGCGTGGAAAGTTTGTCCACACAGAGCAAGATGGTGGGGGAGTGGAACATATTATCCTGGGATGCTGGAGGACTGCAACTTGGGCAGCTCATCTGTAGGGAGTGGCCACACATTAAATGGAACACGAACTGGGTAACACAGATCAGATATAAGCCTGCCCTAGACTGGCATAACTTTAAGCCACCTAAAGTGTACTTAAATCTAGTTTCAGGTGTTAAAGGCATAGACAATCCAGAGGTTAAGAGCTCCAGGAGCCACTTAAAATTATTGTATAACAAGGCCCATGATTACACAAGGATGTTACTCCAAATCAATGCATATACTGATTTTTTATGGCCTTTATTCCAAGGATCCTCCCTCGCCCCACCTCAGAAGCCCATTAATGGTTCCAACTGTGACCCCCAAACAGAGTGTCTGGCCTTCTATAACTTTGCTGCTTTAAGCCAAGACACATCAACACAGCAACCTCATAAGCCTGGTGTTAAGCATAAGGAGTACTTCCTTGGTTTGAAGTGCTAATCCTGAAGACTGACGTGCTTGTCAAAATACATAGGAACACACAAACACAGGATTGAGAGAGATCTCCTAGCTCAGTGGCTCCATGGTAGGCCCTGTGTCATATGATCCTTTTCATAAGCATATCAAGTACCATCTTTAAAACTAGATTTTTTTACTCTTACTGCTTGGATTGGAAGGCTAGTCCAGAATAATATTACTGTGCCAATAGTTAGCAGCAGTCAGATAATTTCAATTCTAAATTTATTCATAACTATTTTTTATCCATTTGTTCTTATGCCAACATTGTCTTTTAACAAACTGTTCCTTTTCCTCTTTGGTATGTACCTCCTTCCATTACCCCCTAGTATATTTAGACAGGCACATTCCCTTTCAGCCTTTGTTTTGCTAGGCAAAATGAGCTGAGCTCTTCTTTTCTTTTCTCATAATATAGGCTTGCCATTCCCTTGATCATCCTAGTAGGCACCTGTTCCAGCTTGACTTCATCTTTCTTAAACATGGGTGATGAGGACTACTCACAGTATTCTACATAAGGGCTCGCCAGTGCTTGGCACTAGTTATTTCCCTGTCTCTACTAGAAATACCTCTCTTGACATATTCTTGGATCAATCTGCCTTTTTCCACAGCTGCATCACATTGTTGGCTGATAAGCATCCTATGAACAAGCAGCACATTGAGTAATTTCCAACTGATAAGCTCCCAGTTTACTACAGAAGTTTTTTTTATTAATCCCCAGGTTCATGACTTTGCAATTACCATTACTGAATTTTACCCCATTTCTTTACTCCTGAAGGTCACAGAGTTCTTACTCTAGCCTCCTCTGAATTGATGCTTCCTTGCCTTGTGAAATCAAGTTTCATCAACACTTGTGCTGTGGTCATGAATTAAAATACTAAACCTGTTTGATCCAAAGGCAGACTTGTCAAGAAACTCTACAAGCAACCCCATTTCAACTTGATACTTGCTTTCCCAACACTATGCATCGCTGTCACCCCTTTAAAAAGCTCCATACTCTTCTTACAGTTCTTTTCCTTGTCCTCTCAAGCTTCATTAATCATTTATCATGTAACAATATCCAAAATGTTTTACAGAAGTAAAGATAGACAAAGTTTACTATATTTTCTTTGTCAAGGAAAAAAAAATCAGATTAGCCAGATTACCTTTCATAAAACAATATTATATTTTACCCGATTTACTTCCATGACCTTAATTATTATTGTTCTAGTGTTTCACACTATTGAGATCAGACTATCAGGACTTCAGTTAGCCAAATCACTTCGCAAAACCCCTTTTAAATATAAGTGTTGTGTTTGCTATTCTCCTATCATATTCATCAATCACCCCTAATACATTTATTAACAATCCTTGCTACCAGGGCAAGCAATTGCAGGTACCAGTTCCTGCT